GGAAGCCTGGGCGGCGAGTGGGGGTGGGGGACCGTGGAGGAGGCGGGGCTGGCTGCTGGAGCGGAGGTTCCGACTGACGACTGTGGCCGCTGCAGCTGGGCTGGTGGTGGGGCCAGATCCCAGCACCCTGGCAGTGAGGCCCACACCGGGGGCCCATGAACAGAGTGAACTGGGTGGGCTATTGCCCACTCATTTTGGCAGGGTGACCCCAGCTCTAGGGGCCCACCCCCAGCCACCCTGGCTTCATGCCAGAGGCTGCCCCGGGGGCTTCTGGGGGGCAGCCTGGCCTGGGACTGCTGAGCAGGCTCGGGGGGGCCAAGTCCCTCATGGCAGCCACAGCAGGGAAGGCCAGTGGGCCAGGGACTCTGCCAGCCCGGGTTCAGAAAGGCCGAGTCAGGAGGGCTGTACGCATCTCCAGCCTCTTGGCCCAGGAGGTAGGTGACCCCCTGCCTTCTTCCTACCTGGGTCAGGTTCCTGAGCCAGGAGGCCCATGAGTTGGGCAGAGGGTGGAAGCAGGCTCCGAGAGGGCTTCTGAGAAGCAGGCCGTTCAGGGGCTTGGGGTCTGCAGTCACTCTTGGCTTGCCTTGGACTTTCTCCAGGTCCGGCGGCTTGGGGGTCAGCCTTCCAGGTCTTCCCCGTGCCATGGTGTTCATGACCCCTAGGCCCCTGGCTCTGACAGCGAAGGGAGGGGAGGACAGGAATGGAATGGGCACAAAGTGGTGCAGGGAGACTGAGGGAGGGCTGGCAGGACAGGAGAGGTTTGCTGCAGCAGATATGGGAGGGTGTGCTTGGGCCCTTGCTACTCCTCATGCCATGGTGGCAGGTGGCCCTTGGGCATAGGGGGTATGAGGATCCAAGGTTTGGAACTGGAGCTCAGGAGGGTTGGGTCAGAGGCCTCTGGGTGAGGGCATGCTAAACCAAGAGGCCTGCTGGACCTCTTCTAAAGAGCCCGGGGGTGGGTGTGGGGGTCTGGTAGCCGGGTTGTGCTCCCCAGTCTGATGACTCTCTGAGCACATATGGGGAGCCCCTTCTGCCTCCAGCTGCTCTCCAGGGACCTTTGGCAGAGAGAAATAGCAATACTCCCCTCCGCCCCCCCACCATCACTACCACCTCCACACCCCAACTCTTACACCTGAGCAGGCCCCGGTGCAGGCATTCCTCCCTGTTGGGAGACAAGTACAGGCAGAGGTAGGAAGGAGTCTTGCGCCTTTCAGGTGAGGATCCAGGATGTGACTGAACTGAGGTCCTGTATTCTGTAGGGAAGTGGGTCAGGAGGGGGTTAAGTCCCTGGCCCAAGGCCATATGGGCAGCAGGTGTCGCAGAGCTGGGACAGCGCCTGTGAGATTGGGTTCAGTGGATCTAGGGCTTGTGGCCCCATGCTGGCCTGTGTGTGTGTGCATGTGTGTGTGCGCGTATGTGTGTGTACCTATGCAGGCGTTTGTGTGCTACTGTGCACTGCTGGTCAACTTAGAGCTGGGTCCCTGATATATTTGTTCCGGCATATCTCCCAGGGAGCCTGGGCTCTTGGGAGGAATTCTGTTCTAAGGGTTAGGACCATGGTCCACTCCTTTAGCTGCAAGGGTCTTGGCTGATTCTTACTCTAACTCTCACTGAACTCCCAAAGACCACATACAGCCTGTGAAAATGTTTCCTGCCTTAAGGTGGGGCAGCTTGGGCTGCAGGCAGGGTAGTGGGAGGAGCCTGTGAGCCTTCCCACAGGCTTTTCCTGCCCAGTGGCTTCCCATTCCTTGTCTCCAGCATCCATTGCTCGAGGTGGCGGGTCCCTGGCTATAGTCCATCTCAGTGTCTAGTTCCTTCCTGTAGGGCGTGCCCTCCAAGTCGCTCCCTTTGGTGAAGCTGTGTCCAGAGATCATGGGGGAGCCCAAGGCTGGGTCCCTGGCAGGTGGGGCTCTGGAGCAGTGCTGGCCTCTGTGGCTCTTGAGGGGGTTAGGTGGGGGTGAGGTTCCAGCTCAGACCGGAGGAGTTTGGAGCAGAGGGTTCTTGGATCAAGTCACAGGTTGTGAGAGAGCTGCTGAGGGGCAAGCAAGTGCGCTAGGTGCCAAGTGGGGGTGTCAGCCTCGCGGCTCATTGTCACACTATTGTGCTCGTCTGTGTGAACTGTGCAGGCTGTGTCTGTCTGGCCCCTTAGAGCTGGATTGAGTGCCTGTCCCTTGGCTGGATTAGGTCTTCTTGTATCCCTCTGTTGGGCTGACCGAGGTCTGCTCTGGGTCAGGGTGAGCTGGGAGGTCAAAGATCTGCTCTGGGTCAGGGTGGGCTGGGAGGTCAGAGAGCTTTTATGTATCTTGCTCCCTCCTCTGGGAGGCTAAGGGGTCTGAGCAGGGACCTGATACCGTGGGGCCAGTTGGGCCTCCCATCATCATACACGCTGAGATCTGGCTGTTGTGCAGGCTAGAAGCCTCAGGTCTTCAGTCACTTGCTGGGCTGTGATAATCATCTTGGATGGGGAAGGTCGCACGGGAGAGCTGTAGCCTGTGAGCACAGGCTTGCTTTGCTTGTGGGGACGTTTGCTTTTGGGTGTTATTGCTTAGTGTTCTGAACTCGTGTGCTGGCACTGCCAGTCTGGCTGGGACCAGCTGGGGTCTTCAGGTTGTATGGCCTTCTGGGAACTGTACTCCACATTTGGCGGAGAGGTAGGCATTCAGATTGAACCCCTCCCCCCCTTTTTGGGCTCCCTGCCATGCTTGCCCTCTGCTCCAGAGGATTCAGCAGAGATATCACCCTTTCTGACATCCCATGGCCTAGCCGCCTTCTGGGGTACCAGCCCCACAATGAATGGGTCCAAGGGGGCGGTTGTATAATTGAGGGGTAAAATTAAGGAGACATCAGACAAGATAAAGCATGCAAGTGCTTACCTTTGCAGTCTTGACTTCATGAGCCAGGTCTGCGCAGAGAGAGCGAGTAATGTAATTTCATGAATTTATATAATCAGAGAGAGAGCGAGTAATGTAATTTCATGAATTTATAGCTCAGGCCATGCTAAGCACATATGTAACAGGAAGGGGCTGTATAATAGGCATACGCATAACAGTAGGGGGACAAGCTGGGGGTTTACATGCAATAGGAAGGGGAGGCACTAGAGGCACACATGTGACAGGAAGGCGGACATTAGAAGCAAGATGGCAGCCTAACCTTGGTCGACTGTCTGAGTTGGCTTGACCTCAGGTGTCTTTGGGCTCTCCTTCAGGGAAACAATCTACTATCCTTATCAGAAGGGAGTGGGTCCTACTTAGGGTGGGGCAGATATAGGGTCTGATTGCTCTAGATGACTGATAACCTTCAGGCAGATAACCTTCAAGCAGTTGACCTCCGAGTGTATAGTCAGGGACCATGTGTTTGCAAACAGCATCTTAGATTTGGCATGATTATGGGGGGACATCGTGGGGGCTAACTTTTACTTAGGAGAATGTGAGTGGGACGCAACTCCAACCCACGGACATGAAGGTTTTCTCCACGGGAGCCTTGGCCTCCCAGGCTCCTTAACATGAATGTTGAGAGTTTGTCCACATACACTCTCTTCCCGGTTCTGTTTCCCACACCGCCTCAGTCCTGCAGCCTGTGGGATAGCGCCCCTCCATGCCCTTTCCCTGCATGCAGGTGCTGTCCCTGGGTGCAGACGTGCTGCCGGAATACAAACTGCAGGCGCCGCGTATCCACCGCTGGACCATCCTGCACTACAGCCCCTTCAAGGCCGTGTGGGACTGGCTCATCCTGCTGTTGGTCATCTACACGGCTGTCTTCACGCCCTACTCGGCCGCCTTCCTGCTGAAGGAGACGGAGGAGGGTCCCCCGGCCCCTGACTGCGGCTATGCCTGCCAGCCTCTGGCTGTGGTGGACCTCATTGTGGACATCATGTTCATCGTGGACATCCTTATCAACTTCCGCACCACCTACGTCAATGCCAACGAGGAGGTGGTCAGCCACCCTGGCCGCATCGCCGTCCACTATTTCAAGGGCTGGTTCCTCATTGACATGGTGGCCGCCATCCCCTTCGACTTGCTCATCTTCGGCTCTGGCTCTGAGGAGGTGGGGCTGGCAGGGAGGCAGAGAGGGACCAGAGCACATGGTGACAGTTGGGAAGGTGGTGGGAGGGAGTTGGAGGGACAGGGCAGAGAGAGATAGGGAGCTGAAGGGGCAGGCCGTGCACCACTCAATCTTGCTTCTTTCTTGATTCCGCCTTCAAAGACCCATCATGTCTTTTTTTTCTTCTAACAGTTTAATTGGCAAGGAATGAGCATATCATGTAATTCAATAGTCCAACCATTCAATCATATCAAGGAGAATTGTACTCTTACCCCCACATCAATCATTCCCACCTCCCATGGTTCAGTCACCTCTGAGAGAATTATGCCATCACAATCCGTTCTAGTGCTCCCTCCCCACTCCTGTCTTCACGGTTTGCCCCCAAGATCCCCTTGCCCTCCCCGCCATCTACCCTGCCACCCCTGTACTCCTGACAGCCTCTTGAATCAGTTATTCTCTCTCTGCATCCACTCCTCCTGTGCTTCACAGCTGGGTGACAGAAAACAATAAAAAACAGACTCGTGCTAAGGTGGTAAGGATAAAAACATAAAGATACGAATAATGCGTAAGAAGGGACAGACCCCCAACAACATTCAAAAAACCAGGGAAGAAATACCCGTCTTGGAACCAGTAAGAGATACTTGTACCCAGAACAAATTCAGGTTGGTCAATCGGGTAGTCAGTTGGCCAAGTGTTGGGTTTGATCCCGTGCAGTCCAGATTACAGTGGGCTCTGTCTGATTGTAAGGCTGATCAAGATTTGTCTGTGGCTTGAGTGGATCTGCCAGTGGCTCAGTCTGACCAGACACTCTGCAGATGGGATTTGGGCTGTCACCATCCCCCAGAGCCCTCCACAAATTGGGGGTTCATCATTTCTCTGATGCTTATCTTCTCACCATATTAGAATTTTTCAATTGTCATGTCTGGATCCCACAAGCTGGTGTGCTTTTTCTGTGTGGACTTAGTTGGCTCTTCGCTTAGACAGCCACATGTTTGAATACAAGCCCCTAAGACCCCAGACACTATTCTGACTGATAGATAGTTGGGCACCATCAGCTTTCTTCACCACATGTTGCTGTAGCACCCTTATCTTCAGTGAAGACCCATCAAGTCTAAGTCACACAAAGGACCCCATAAGCTATTAGGTGTGTCTGTGACCACCGTACGATCCTGTTCTCACTCTGTCCCTCTACCACAGTGGTTCTCGACCTTCTTAGGCAATATATCTGATTTATAGCACATCTGCATCCTTAGCCTGGAGTTCAAGGCTGTTATCAGTCTAGCGCAGTGGTTCTCAACCTTCCTAATGCCACGACCCTTTAATTCAGTTCCTCATGTGGTGGTGACCCCCACCATAAAATGATTTTTGTTGCCACTTCATAGCTGTCATTTAGCTACTGTTATGAATCGGGCAACCTCTGTGAAAGGGGTTGTGACTCACAGGCTGAGAACGAACCCCTGCTCCATCAGAAGCTAGCACATAGACCTGGAACAACTCCTCTGGCCTGGCCCCCTTTGCTGCGAGGCAGCTCCCGGTGGTAGAAGAAGGTTTTGGGAGGAGATTTGTGGGCTCTGACCTCGCAACACTCCCCCCACCCCCCGCGGATGAGGACAGCAGAGCTACCTAGCCCACTCTCAGTGTATCCTCACACTGGCGGTCCCTCTCCCTCCAGCTGATCGGGCTGCTGAAGACCGCCCGGCTGCTGCGGCTGGTGCGCGTGGCGCGGAAGCTGGACCGCTACTCGGAGTACGGCGCGGCCGTGCTCTTCCTGCTCATGTGCACCTTCGCGCTCATCGCGCACTGGCTGGCCTGCATCTGGTACGCCATCGGCAACATGGAGCAGCCGCACATGAACTCGCACATCGGCTGGCTGCACAACCTGGGCGACCAGATCGGCAAGCCCTATAACAGCAGCGGCTTGGGGGGCCCCTCCATCAAGGACAAGTACGTCACGGCCCTGTACTTCACCTTCAGCAGCCTCACCAGCGTGGGCTTCGGCAACGTCTCGCCGAATACCAACTCGGAGAAGATCTTCTCCATCTGCGTCATGCTGATTGGCTGTGAGTGTGCCCGCGGGGAGGGGAGGCGGGTGTGCGCTGTGGCTGCCTGGAGGGCAGCGAGGGTCCTGGAGGATGGGGAGAGGGAATGGGGGGGCCGTCATGGGGCAGCCAGGTCAGAGAGTGAGGTCGGGTAGCAAGAGGGACGAGCGTGCTTGGTGTGTTTGTGTGCATCCTCGCGCTTCTCTCTGTGTTTCCACCCTGCGCATACGCCACGAGCGGTGGGTCAGTGACACGGCTGGCGCGCAAGGGCGGAGGGCGGGCCCTGCAGGTACCGACAGGCCCATCCCTCCCCGCTCCCTGTCCCTAGCGCTTATGTACGCCAGCATCTTCGGCAACGTGTCGGCTATCATCCAGCGGCTGTACTCAGGTACTGCGCGCTACCACACGCAGATGCTGCGCGTGCGGGAGTTCATCCGCTTCCACCAGATCCCCAACCCGCTGCGGCAGCGCTTGGAGGAGTACTTCCAACACGCCTGGTCCTACACCAACGGCATCGACATGAATGCGGTGGGCCACTGGCGGGGGCTGGGGCGCGAGTGGGGCAGGGAGGGCGCCTCTTGGCAGAGCGAACTTGCCGTACCTGGCGGTCTAGGCGGCCTCTTAGGACCAAGGACATCCTGAGAGGTATGATGCCCACTTGCCCATTGGGCACAACAAGGAGCAGAACGGCTCCCGTAGCGAGGCAGGCACTTCCTGAGCCACAGCTTTTACATTTAATTCTCACCACCTTAACCTAGGGTGGGTGCAAGTGGACAGGGAAAGGGCGACCTAGGGTGGTAAGACGTGGCACGGCTCCAAGAGAAGGAGCCGGAATCCTGTCTAGCTCACCAGGCATAAAGCCTGGGAAGGGCCTGGGCCCACGGAGTTTCCCGGAAGCGCAGGCTGGGGAAGGGGGTGGGGCTCCAGGGCTGTGCTCCAGGAACTGCAAGTGGATGCTGCGTTTCCTCCCCCTCCCTCCAGGTGCTGAAGGGCTTCCCCGAGTGCCTGCAAGCAGACATCTGCCTGCATCTGAACCGCTCGCTGCTGCAGCACTGCAAGCCCTTCCGGGGGGCCACCAAGGGCTGCCTGCGGGCCCTGGCCATGAAGTTCAAGACCACCCATGCACCACCCGGGGACACGCTAGTGCATGCGGGGGACCTGCTCACTGCCCTCTACTTTATTTCCCGGGGCTCTATTGAGATCCTGCGGGGCGACGTTGTGGTGGCCATCCTAGGTATGGACGGGAGGGCGAGTCCTAAGGCTAGGGGCGTTAGGAATGTCCCAAGACAGGCAGCTAATAGAAGCTCCATCTTGGTGCGTGTGTATAGATGTGTATCTGTGTGTATGTATGTGTGTATACGTGTTTCTGTATGTGTGTATGCATGTGTGGATGTGTGTATATGTGCGCGAATGTGTATATGTGTATGCACGTATATATGCGTATGTGTGTATATGTACATGTGTATGTACATGTACGTGTGCATGCCCATATGTGTCTATTCATGTGAGTATATGTGCATGTATGGGTATGTGTGTATACATGCATGCGTGTGTATATATATGTATGCGTGCATGTGTATGTATGTGCATGCATGTATGTATGTGTGTGTGTGTGTGTGTGTGTGTCTGCACTGACCTCCTTCCCAACAGTCTCCCCACCAGCAGTGAGGCTCCCCTCCCCACTGCTTCTTTAAGTCAAGGTGAAACCAGACCCTCTCAGGGGGGCAGTCGGTGGCAGGAGAGAGGCCTGTTTGGGGCTGTGCATTGGGTCTGTGAAAGGAGAGCTGGTGGTGCTGTGGACAGTTGCTCTGTATGAAAAAGATGAGGCGAGGTCCCACCCTGGAGCTTGGTGGCCCTGACATCTGGTCAGGGTGCTGTGACTTATTATGGGCCCGTTGGCAGGGCTTTGGGCATCGGGTCTGTGGGGGCCATGGGGGCCACACCTCATGCTGCGGTCCTGTCGCCCTCCAAGGCCAGGTGCCCTGCCCCTTGCCTCTCACCATTTCCTCCTCTCCCGTACCTGTGGACAGGTGGGCTTGCCCCAGGGAGACCCTCCTTTGCTGGCCCTCAGTCCTTAGGGAAGGCTCATCCCCTCTCTCGTCTGCAGAGTCAGATCCCATAGAATTGTATATTGCAGTCAGGAGAGACATACTTCCTCTACAAATGTACCCTACCTGTCCCTCAAACGAAATATTCCCAGAGGCCCTTGGCCCTATTACTGTCGGTGGGCCTGACCCACGCTGACATTTTCTGCCTGGCTCGCTAAGCTATGCCACTCTGTCTCCTTTCACTCAGCTGCTATGATCTGTGGTTTGGGAAGCACAGCTGGTGACCGGGAAGGAGGGTGCTTCTGATGTGGGGTTTGGGGGTAGAAATCTAAGTAGACGGGAGCCCTTGGGGGGAACAAGCCCTGTGGGCAGGCCCCGGTCACCAGGAATGCCCTGACTGTCCAAGGCTCCCGCCTGGCCTCCTGAAAGCTGAGAAGGACCTGATGGGTTGGGTGCCCGATCGGGTTGGGGACGGACCCAGGAGGGAACGCCGGGGGTGGGGGTTGTGGGGGTGGGGTGAGCTGCCTGCCGTCCTCCCCTTGAGCACACCCCACTCCTGCGGCAGGGAAGAACGACATCTTTGGAGAGCCCCTGAACCTGTACGCCCGGCCCGGCAAGTCCAATGGGGACGTGCGTGCCCTCACCTATTGCGACCTGCACAAGATCCATCGGGACGACTTGCTCGAGGTGCTAGACATGTACCCTGAGTTCTCCGACCACTTCTGGTCCAGCCTGGAGATCACCTTCAACCTTCGAGATGTGAGCGGCTCACTGCTGGGCCCTTGTTCCACTCCCAGCAGGGTGGCCCCTTCGCCTCCTTCCTTGCCCCACATTGCTGAGGCCAGACCCAGCCGACTGCCAGCCTCACCCCTGGCTGCCATGTGTGAATGGGGCTGGGCCTGGCCTGGCCGGGTCGGAGCATAGCAGGTGCTGAGCCTACTTTTGGTTGCAGACCAACATGATCCCTGGTTCTCCGGGCAGCACAGAGCTCGATGGCTTCAGCAGGCAACGCAGGCGCAAGCTGTCCTTCCGCCGGCGGTTAGACAAAGGTGAGACGAAGAGAGGAAGAGCCGCTGCCCCACACATGCTCGCCTGGCATCCGTACCCCCTCTTGTGTCCCCTTCCCCTCCTCTTATCCGGATGAGTCCAGCTCAGTTTCACCTCCTCTGGCCGGGCAGTCCCCAGGCCTCTTTAGTTCTCATGGGGCGGGTCTGCATGACAGAGAGGTGGTAATCTGGGCAGGGGCCCTGCAGGCCCAGGGGTAGCCATGCTACTGTGCGTGGAGGAAGTCTGGCTCTGCGGCTCAGTCAGGTTGGGGGTGGTGGGTCGGGTGGAAGATCACAGAGGAAGCACCCTGTGCTCTCCCGTGTCTCCCGCTCAGAGGACCTTCTTGTTCTTTGTTTCTTGCAGATACGGAGCAGCAGGGGGAGGTGGAATCCCTGGGGCCTGGCCAGGCAGGGGCAGGGTCAAGTGGCCAGGGCCAGCCAGGGGGTGTGTGGGGGGAGAGCCCGTCGAGCGGCCCCTCCAGCCCTGAGAGCAGTGAGGATGAGGGCCAGGGCCGGAGGTCCAGCCCCCTCCGCCTGGTGCCCTTCTCCAGCCCCAGGCCCCCTGGAGGGATGACCAGTGGGGAGCCCCCGAGTGAGGACGGTGAGAAGCACAGCGACACGTGCAACCCGCTGTCAGGTATGGGGCCGTCCAGGCTGGGCAGGGAGCTGGGCTGGGGAAGGTAGGGATTGACCTAGGGTCATCTTCACTCTCTGGCTCTAGGTGCCTTCTCCGGAGTGTCCAACATCTTCAGCTTCTGGGGGGACAGCCGGGGACACCAGTACCAGGAGCTGCCTCGCTGCCCTGCTACCACCCCCAGCCTCCTCAATATCCCCATTTCCAGCCCAGGTCGCCGGCCTCGAGGCGACGTGGAGAGCAGGCTGGATGCCCTTCAGAGGCAACTCAACAGGTGAGGCCAGGGAGCCGTGTAACCTGGATTCTCTCTCTCTCTCTTTCTGTGTGTACAGGTGTAAGAGGGACTGAAGCAGGGCCTGAGTGGGATCTTGGTGTCCTGGTGTGGGTTGGTGGCAGGGTTTAGGCCCATATGTGTGTTGGGCAGCTGGGCCTTCTCCTTCCATCGGAGCTGAACGGCAGCAGCCACCACAGTGGTTACAGGGAGCTTAGGGTGGCCAGCTGGCTCCTCAGGAGGGTGGCCCTGAAGTTACAGAGAACAGAGTCTCCCCTTCTGTTCAGACTCAGGGCACCTCCTCACACCTGGCCGCCGCGTCTATCTGCCCTGTTCCTTCCTGCCCTCAGACTAGAGACCCGGCTGAGTGCGGACATGGCTACTGTGCTGCAGCTGCTACAGAGACAGATGACACTGGTTCCGCCCGCCTACAGTGCTGTGACCTCTCCGGGACCCGGACCCACCTCCACCTCCCCTTTGCTGCCTCTCAGCCCCATTCCCATCCTCACTCTGGACTCGCTTTCTCAGGTACCAGCCAAGGCTCCAGCCCAGCCTTTCTTGGCCCAAGCCTGCCCCCCATGGCCTCTGCCTGGCCTCCTGCTTCTGCTGTCCCCACCCTCCCTCGGGCTCGGCCCCTGAGGAGGGCTGCCAGCTCTGTTCGCATGCTTGCCGAATGGGCTACGGAGCTGTCGTCTAAGGACCACAGTCCTGAGTCAGACATGGTACGGGAAAGGGGTGGTGCCTGCCGGTGTGGCTTTGGGACAGGACTCTAGCCCTCAGCCCTGGCCACACAGGGTCTGGCCTGCCTTGCCTGTTGAGGCCAAACTCACAGGGGTGCTTCCTGGGCCCTCCTCTCAGCCCTCCTGTTGGACAAAGGGCCTCAATTGTGTGTGTGTGGGGGGGCACCTCCGACTCGTTACCCAGGGGCCCTGAGAAAGGACTGCTCCAGCTTCCTGCTTTCTCTCCCTGCCTCCCTCCCTCCCTCCCTCCCTGCCTTCTCTGGCATCTGCTCCCCCTCCCATATGCTGCCTGCTCCTGTTTTCAGACACCAGGGCCCACGTCAGCCAATGTGCCAGTCTCCCCTCACAGCCTCCCTCGCTGAGATCACACCAGCATGCTCACAGCACACACGTACCCTCTGCCTGCTTCTCTTCTTGGCCTTCGCAGCCCTGGCCCAGCCTGCCCCTCTTTCTAGGTCTCTGGGTTCTTTCTCGACTGTAGGAAGGAGCCTTTTCTGCTCCAACTCAAGGGCTGTGTGTCCTCGGCTCAATTTGACCTCAGTCATGTTCATGTGTGTGTGCTGACTCAAATCTTTCATTTGGAAAATGTTTTTTGTTCCAAATACCCCAAGTTTTTTTTTTTCTTCCATTTCCTTTTTCCAAAACCATTTTGTTGGGAGTTAATACAGATATCATATCAGTTTCATAGTTCAACCAAGCAGTATTGTACAATAGCTCCCACAATCCGCTTCTCAGGTGTGTTCTCTAGGAAAGGAGGAGGAGGCCAGGGTCTGGAATGTTCCTGGGTCCCAGGCAAGGTATTTGGAGTCAGACTGAAATGCTCTCTGCTCCCCTCCTTGGCTCTTGCCAACTGGAAATGAATGTCTCTCATCCAATCGTAACACCTTTCTTGGGGTGGGAGGTGGGGGGTCTCGTCTGTCTGCCTTGAACTTTCTCTGCCCCAGATTAAAGCCCTCCTCTGTGTCCCACCCTTCCTGTCCTGTCCTCTGTGGGTCCTTGCTCACTAACACTCAGTGTTCTTTGCAGGTTTCCCAGTTCATGGCATGTGAGGAACTCCCCCCAGGACGCCCAGAGCTCCCCCAAGAGGGATCCACCCGACGCCTTTCCCTGCCGGGCCAATTGGGGGCCCTTACCTCTCAGCCTCTGCACAGACATGGCTCCGATCCAGGCAGTTAGTGGGGCTGCCCAGTGTGGACATGTGGCACATCCAGGCGCTGGGTCTGGCCTGGGCCCCTTCCCTCCGGTGCCCAGGTGCTGGTGGCAATGGCTATAGCCCAGCTCCTCCCAGCCCTCAGGACCATCTCCTCCTGCAGTCTCCTGGGCCCTAGTGGGAGGAGCAGGGGCAGGGCCGGGCAGTGGAAAGGGGGCCTGTGGTCCCACCCTGTCCTGGGGGCATTAGCTGGTCTAACTGCCCAGAGGCACCGGCCTGGACCGTAGGCACCTCAAGGACTTTTCTGCTATTTACTGCTCTTATTGTTAAGGATCATAATTAAGGATCATATGAATAATTAATGAAGTTGCTAATGACTATGAGTAATAAATAATTATCCTGAGGAAACTCCAATGGTACTAGGTGGGAGGGAAGGTACAGCCTTCCTCATGCTGGGCTGAGTGTCTACATTCAGAATATACTTACTATATGTGTGCTATTCAGGATATACTAAATGTGTGCATGCACGTGTGCATATACACACCTGTGCACTGGTCCATCTGTGCTGGAAACCAGTGCAGATGACATGGGCTCCCTGTAGGCCTTCCCAACGCTGGTTCTGCATTGACCGCAAGAGTCCACTATATAGTTGTCCCCTTACCCAGCTCAGAACCCCACCCCACAGTGACCTTGTCCTAGTGGAGCTGAAGCCCTGATCTACACGCTGCCTCTCAAACTTGGCCTGATCTTGACCTTAGTCCGGATGCATTCTGACCCTAGATGATTGGTCTCAGCGTGGACCCACCTTTGGGCACACTGGTTTTCTTTACCATGACCACAGCTCGGCGGATGCCTGGCTGTATCCGCTGGATCACTAGAAGATTTGCACTAAAGAGGGTAGGGATTTCCTATTAGTGGGGAAACAAATCTCACAGATGTCCTGGGAGTAGTGAAAGGGTTTGTGTTGTGTGTGGTTGTGTGTGTGATGGGTATGTATGTGGTATGGTATGTGTAGGTAGTATGTGGATGTAGTGGTGACGTGTGTGTGTGAAGTGGTAAGTGCAGCATGGAGTATGTATGCTGGTATGTGTGGGTGTATGTATGATGTATGTGTTATCTGGTGCATGTGTAGGGTATGTGTGTGTGATGGTTTGTGTGCATGTGTATTGTAAGTATAAAGGGATATGCTGGGTTTGCATAGCTGGTCCTATGAGGACACAGAGTTCCTGGGAAGAGTGGTATGTGCAGTGGATGCCCAAGGGCCAGCGGACGGCCATGGGGAGGAGTCTGCAGGCTCCATGTGGGCAGGCTGGGTGTAAGTGAGGGTAGGGCCTAAAGGCTTTCAGGGTCCTCCGAGCTGTCTCTGTCTCACACGACCCTCACAATCGCTGACTCATCCACGTACATTTTGGTAACTCAGCTTTAAGGACACATGGAGCTGTTTTCCTGGCCTCCCTGTGATAGGGTGGGTGTTGGGAATAGAGGGAGATGGTGCCTGAGCAGCCTGGAGTAGAGTCTGCAGAGAAGGTAAGAGAGGTGGGGGCATCTTTTCCTTTAGCTCAGGTGATTCAGCCTTAGGATCCAGCGCCCTCACCCCGTGGGTTTGAGCTTGGAGGTGTCTGCTGGAGCTCCCTGGGTGTCCTGGGGAACAGGGGATAGTTGGGATTAAGGGGGCCACAGGGGGGCTGACAGAGAGTGGCTTTGTGTGAGAGAATACTTTGTGTGAATGCCATCTTCTCATGGATGGGGGGCTCACCACACGGGCCTCTTTTGGCAGTTGATGTGGGCTAGGTGGGGCCAACTGTGTTCATGGGCTGTGGAGGGCAGGAACAGCGAGAGGCTGACAGACATGAAGGTATGGCCAGACTTCAAGCTCACTTGGTACCCTGGGGATATGTGAGCAAGGTCAAAATCTTCACTCTCTGGCCTTGTCTCTATCCTCGTTATCATATGTACTTAGAATGCCTTCATTCTGTGAACTGCAGCCTGAACTTCACACATGGTTGTGTCTAGGTGCAGAGCGGGCCTATAGAAGCCAGACTCTGTGGGTGGGGGTGGGGGGACCACATGAGAGAACGAGGCCTGGGTGTAAGTGGAGACATGAAGGGGATAGAGAGACCTTTTTCTGCACCACCTAGGTTTTAGATTAGCCATGAAGCTGCTCAGTTCTTTTGGGGCCCCAAGCCCCAAGCCTTCCTCTCGTTCGCTGTCCCTTTATCAAGCATGATGTCCTTCTCCAGGGA